CTCGCACGAGACCAACGAGCCTGAAATCATAGAGCTGGTAACCGGAAACATTATTCACAGACAAACAGCCATACTACTTTATTTATCTTGATGTTTTCCTAAAACTTCCTGTGATGTCACTCAGAATGGACTGACAGGGTAATTGACTCCAAGTTACAAGGGAGTGATACATCACTGTCATTGTTAGCCTAGCTTCTCTCCTTTCATATTTTTTGTCTAGCCCACTTAGTCATTTTAGCCGTCTTTGCTTTTTTATGCACCTCAGAAAATATGAAACCATGGCAACAAGCTCTCCTTCTGCTGTTCTGATGTTCTTCTGTTAAGAAGCCTTACACATGCATTTGACAGGGATAATGGTAGATTTCTACTTACAACCTCAAGGTCTGTCTGTCAAGTGCAAAGGTGACTTTGAAGGGAATTTAAATGGATATAAGTTTCTTCTGTGTATGCATTAGAGTAGTCTGTCATTACTGCAGGCTTTTTTCCTACATATTTTAGTCTTAGCTTCAACTCAGTTGTATAGTTAAAAGTATATCAATATAATTAAAGGGATCGTTTGGACCTTTTAAAGTGGGGTTCTAAAGGTTTTAATAGGACCAATGTATGTTCTTGTTTTAGAGCTCATTTAACAACCTCAAACTGAGCAGTGTTTATTTGTGTCCAGAATTATGTGTTAACAGTTAAATGCCATCTTAAAATCCATCTCAGCATGTTTATAGAGGTTCATGAAAATTATATATATTTTTTAATTGTTATATCATTGTCAGTTATTTTCATGGGATCAGTGTTGCCAGCCTAGCGACTTTGTGGTTATATTTAGTAAGGATTTAGTTCTCTCTAGTGATTTTTTTTTTCTAAACAGCGAGTATCAACATACTTTTTCTAGTGCTACTTGGGACTTTTATAGACTCTGCCATGAAAATGTGTATCTTTCTGACACTTCTCAACAAGCAAATAATAACGTGTGACCCAGACTCACACAGCATCCCTCCCCAGCAGTCACAGCATAAGATGTTCACCCATCCAGATGGCAAATGAATCACGCATGCGCAAAGCGGCCCCTTTTTTTTTTTCTTTTTTTGGATGAAAGAAATCACAGCATTTAAATACCTCTCTTCTCATTCACATTTCCCAAGTCCAGATAAAATAAATGAGTTTAAATTGTAACATTAGCAAAAACACAAGAAATTTGCTGTTCTAAACATATTGGCTGTTATTACTCAGTCTGTTTCTCCCATGATGTTATTCCTCATTAGCCAATTATGAAAAAAATAGGTGAAGATGTCATCAAGTTACTTCAAGAGACTTTAAGGATGGACTATACGTGGTTTCTGCACAGCTTCACTACATCCCGGCACTTATTTTGTTCCTGCGATCTTCTATGGCAATATTTTTCATTCAACCTTTATTTATACAGGCTATATGTTGATTGAGGACCTGGTTCAGAAGTGCAGAACCTTTTAGAATTCACAAGTAAAAAATATGTTTTTTATTTTATTTTTTTATTTTGGTATATAATTTCTATGGACCATGCCTATATCACTAGAAATTATAGCAAAAAATTGAATCCATCTTTTAGCATTTCTGTTCATTACCTGAACTGTCACAGAACTGCTGAACATTTTGTTCCTGCATCATTGACCACTGCACATAATCCACTGCCGCTAGCATTTTTGCATCAACATTAAATAAAAGACAAATTTACCTTTCAAATGACATCAATTGATATAGGTATTTTCTAAGCAAAACTAAAGCTTCAAAAACCATAGAGTGTCATAAAAATGCACTCTTGGCTGTGACGAATTATCGTCAGCATCTTGGCTCAAGGCGTCCAATGATTTACTGCTTTGAGCAATTTAATGGCTTTAACACAAAAAGGTTAAATTGTGTCATCTGGACCAGTTTCTTTAAGTGAGAAACGTTGCGTCTCTCATCTGGAAGATTTTGCCAGTCTGCGGCCTGCCAAACAGATCTGTCTCTGCTTCTGAGATTCCAACAGGAGGTTGTCTTGAAACACAGCAGTGAAGGCTACTTATGAGACAGATCTGGATGGCAGGCCGTAGACTGAAGGAGTATTGTTTTTTGTTGTTATCTACCTGGATGCCTGAGCTTACAAGCATTTTTTTTCTTTTTAATGCCTTTAATTTAATTAAAATTATAATTACTTTTGTTTGTTTAAAAGATAATTCAAAATGTATATGTAAGTCACTGCAAGTAGTGAACATTCCTCTGCTTTCAAGTTCATAAGTATCCTTCCTTCCAATCAAGAGACACTTCTCTTCATATCTCGCCCTAGTTTCAACATCCAGTTGAGTTTGTTTTTAGATCCACAGTTGCTAGTTCCATTCTACGATGGAGCTTTAGGGCCACACTAAGAAAAAAAATTAGATTAAGAGAAAAAAAATCATAAAAAAATATTAGATTAAAGTCATAATATTACAAGAATAAAGTCATAGTATTATGAGAAGAAAGTCATAATATTATGAAAATAAACTCTAAATACATTTTGGGTCGACTCTCACCTGCTGTGGACCATAAACATATATACGTAGACACCTCATTGACCGCTGAATTGTACGTCCACGTCACCGCCATTTTGAATGTGAAGCAATAGATGGAAGATGCCTTATTCATTCACAGTGGCAACACGGAAAAAAGCTGAATAAGACTGTTCTTTTCCAAGGTTTATAGCTTGCAGACATGCACACATACACACACAGATTGCATATATATAACGTTAGTGCTCTTTATTCAGAAAATCCACACTTCACATCTACATTTCAGGATCTGGTTATTACAGACACAAATTAAATGTTAAATGTGAATATTTTGAAATTTATCACCACAGTAATAGTGTTACACGCGTTAGTTGTTGTAAACACTCAAAATAAGACATGGTTTAGCGTTTACCTACAACCTAAACGTTTAAGAAGTAAACATTTTTAAATGTTAATAATCGTAATCATGTTAAAAGTTACAAATGTTGTCTTTGGTGCCTGTTTGTTTTCCAAATACATTAGTGTGTGTGAATGACAGGCATCAACTTCAAACTCTTTGTAGAACGGTATTTTATGAAGTTCAGTCCATTTCGTTGTATTAGTTGACCAGCATATCTGCTACATCCAATATGGCGGACGCCCCAATGTAGGGCATCTATGTATATATGTCTATGCTGTGGATCGCCTCCAATGTGAGTCACTGGGTTCATGAAGTAGTCCGCGATCACTTTTGGGTCATTGTTTGTGAAATATGCCTCCATCCACATTATGTCATGACTAAATCCATCAATGCAGCCAGCATTGCCATAAAGCTACAGGTTATCATTCATCATTTTACCGCAGTTGTAAGTCTGCTTTATCATTCGTAATATAAGTTTTTGTATTTTTTTTTCTCTTAGCGTGGCCCTAAAGCTCCATCGTACCATTCATTGTCACTGATGAGAACTGTGTTTTAATTTGCAATGTGTCAGTAGACAGAAATAGTAGTTACCAAGTGAAGCGTTCCATACACAATGGTGGAATGGGCACTCGCGTGGGTTGTGAGAAATACGTATAGCTCTTTTTCTTACTGAGGAGTTGGCAACACTGCATGGAAATCTATGGTTTACGAGTTCAACTAGCAACAACACAGCTAGCTGTAGCACTTCTGGGAACATGTGTGTAATATGAAACTGACAACTGGGTAAATGTCTATAATACAGTGATTGTATGAACTGCTGTGGAAAAATCTACTAGCTCGTCCAAGCATGGTCACCTTAAAAAAAGATTTCCATTATCTTAAAACAAATTCATCATCCAAAATGTTATAGTAGTTCATGCGAAAGCTACTTTGTATTTTATAAACTTTTTCCATGTCATCTTTTTGCATTACACATTTATTCCATAAGGAATATTATGATATTCCAACATGAAATGCCCCCAGTCTGCACCAGAACTGCTATAGCTGCGGCTGCTCCCTATCGCAACTAAAGAACATTTTATAAATAACCATGTAAAGTACATCTGACAGTAAAGTGTAAAAAGTAAAGGCTTATAAAATAGTGTTTGCATAAATTACTCTGATTTTTAGGAGATTAAAGTTGTCCAAACCATCCCTTTAATAAAGATGAACAAGATCATCTTTTGAAAAAGTAAAATTAATAGGCATCACCTTTTTATTTATTTTTTTCTTTACTGTATTTTAATGCAATTAGAAGTGTTTTAGTTGTAGATTTTGTGCTAAAAAAGTTGCTAAATGTGTTTTAGTTTGGAGATTGTTGCAGTGTCAGTAATGTTTGTATTAACAAATGAACTTTATGAATTCAAAACTTTAAAGAAACAAATTTTATTTATAGATTGCACATGTAATACATTCATTTGGTTCTTAATAAAGAAGTATGTGGTTTGCAAAAAGACACAGCATCACTCTGAATGAGGTCTTTGTACATCAAAAGCCGAGTTAACACAACTGATGAACGATTTGGGTCGATGTGCACCCATAAATAAGGATTTCATAGTCACACTGATAGTTCATGGTATTTTAATTTTTTTATTAACTTTTCAGTAGCATTTAGTGCAAAAAAATATAGAAATGTATGCTCACATAACTTACAACTCAAATTATGTCAAGTCCCACAACGATTTTAACCATTTTCTTAGTAAATTAAAATAAATAAAGTGATTATCTGTGCAACTAATAATTGTTTTTGTTTGTTTTCCCATTTTTATTTCAATGTTTGCAAGGACTTGACATTTTATGAGAGATATTTTGCTTCTGTATTTACATGCAGCAAGTCAGAATTAATTTGTAATTTCTCATCTGTATTATACCTGTTAGCACCTGTTAAAACTTTAGAGTTAGAGCAGATTTATTGTCTGTGTGTTTTAAAAGCAGCCAAGCTCAGACAAGTGTTTAAAAATGTTCAAAAAGCCAAACTAAACTCCACACACTTGGAGCGCTGTAGACTTTTTAAAATGAACTAAAGTATTGGTTTTATTTTTTTAAGATATGTTTTAGATACATGCTTGATTAAAGTCTTGAATCTAGAACCAAACTTTAAATTAGGTTATTATTGGTGTGAACAATTGGAAGACATCAGAAAGAGATGACTTGGCTTGCCTGAACCTGAATATTTTTAATCTCTTTATTTTGAATTTACATCACAGGTCTGTTGTGTCAAATATTGGGTTGGTAAAACCAACGTTAGATGTTTTGGCGGTTTTCTTCGGGCCCACCTGGGCCAGAGCTGCGCTCAGAGGCTCGTTGTACTCCGGCGGCCCATCGTCTTCTTCCTCCTCTTTGATCCGTTGCTGTGATGTGGGGCAGGTTTTTAATTTAAATCGTAATCTAGACCTTGTTTTCATGAGTGAAGACACTTTTTAATGCACACCTACCATGTCGTAGTTTGTGTCGTTGGAGTTTGTGTCATAGTGGTCATCTAAAGAGTTGAGGCTTTGATGGAAATGAAGGAAAATGGTGTAAACTTTCAGTAAACGCTATTATGTTACTGTTGCTCAAATTAGTTGGGTTTTTTTTGGCATTTTGAAGGTAGAACTCTGACAATATGTACAGCTGGACGTCCTCCCAGTTCATGATGCCAAAGAATAAAAGCTTTCATTGGTTTAATTTTTACCTGACTTTGTCCATGTCAGAGCTCTCCCCATCTAAATCCAGAGCAACAGTCGTGTCGATGTGGAGGTTGAGCACTGGATTTGCACTGTCAGAGATGAGTCACACAAACAGTCAAAACCCAGTTAAACAATTGAACATTTCCTGTGTGTAAGCTATATGTTCACTGATATTATTAACACACTAACCCCTCCATGGTGTACTTGTTGGTTCCAGGTACCACTGCACCGCCTTTCTGGTTGTTGGAGTTCACCATAGATGCAGTGTTCATGGCTTTAGATGCTTTTAGCTTCCGTCTATAGCTGCAACGTGAAAGAAGTTGATCAGCACGCTGACTGATGCCTTCACATTCTGATCAACCATTTTAAGGTTCAGTCCAGTGCTCTTGCTATTTTTTTTCTTTCTTACTTTCTGCGAGTGCACATCAGTGAGGTGGTGAGAACAAGCAACACAATAATGAGGCCTGCCACTACCCCCAGCAGAATGAACACCATAGGATTTCTGTTTCCAGGCTCAGGCTCACCCGCACCCTGGAACGAAGGTAAGAAGTTTAGCACACGCTTGGGATGTTAGGATATAATTTACACTTGATTTGCACAACTTTAAAACTGGAAGTTCTCACTTTCAGGAAATGTAATCCTAAAGCTGTTCATACTTACGATATTATTGAGGCCAAGCTCTTTTAGTTTGATAAAATGTTCCCCCACAGAGAGCAAGGTTTCCACCTCGTTTCTAGTAAGAGCAGTTCCGTTGAGAAAGATAAAATAAGTCACTAGGACAGTCTTGTCCACCTCCTTCCTGAGGAAAAACACACAAAACAATCACTCAGAGAAATCTTTATTCAAAATTATAGATGATCTGAAAGATGGTTTGTTTGTGTCCAGTACTGTTTCTACTGTTGTGAGGAATTATTTTAATCAAAAGCAACACAGTTTTGTAGACTAATCACTGGCACCACCTAGTGCACAAATACAGACTGTGTGAAGAAATCCTCCAAGTGGACGTTTCAATCAGGATTTTTTTCTTTTCACGAACTTCGAGAGATGCAATTTTTGCAAATAAAAGAAATTTTGCCCCCTCTCACATAAAAAAATACTATTTAAAAAAATATATTATCTGCACAAAGTCACACAAACACAAGTAAATACTCTTTGTAAACTAGAAAATCAACCATAAAAGGTCACCTGAACTATGTTAAATGGTGCAGTTAGAAAAATGTAAATCCTGTAGTTTTGCAGATATGTCCAGCCATTATCTTTACCAACTTCTTCTTTCTTTTTTCTCATCCACAGATATGTAATATTGGATCATTTTCCTCAATAAATAAATGACCAAGTATAATTAAAAAAAAAAAAAAAAAAAAAAAAACTATCCAGATGACCTGACTGAAAATTGTTGAATTGTAGCATGAACTTTTTTGGTTTTGACCAAGTGTAATATTTTGTCTCTTTTGTTTACCTGGGTTGTCTTTACTTTCAGAACTTGTGTGAAAATCTGATGATGTTTTAGGTCATATTTATGCAGAAATATAGAAACTTCTAAAGGGTTCACAAACTTCCAAGCACCACTGTAGCTGTGTAGTTGGTAGCCATTCACAAATGTGCTTAAAAAATAGTTTAAAGAAACCTTAGCCATCAATAGGAGAAAAAAAAAAACACTGTTTCATATATGATTGTATTATAAAAGTATAGAACCAGTAAACGTGCATGGACTTTGCCAGTAAAAGTACTGTTATTTTTTCTATTGCTACTTTTCTAGAGTAAATAGTAATTTAGTTTAAATCATAAATGTGACAGCTGCCAAGGTGAATTAAACAAGACCAATGACAGAAGCCTCCTTTTAGTATCAACAAGAATCTGGATGGAAAGGGACAAAAACTGCAAACCTACAAAGCAACAAAGGAACAAAGAAAGAAAATGAGCTGAAATTCCATGTTCACAAAACAATCTTTCAAAATGCCATTCAAACATGTAAACATTAATTTGAATTTTATATGCATGGAGTAATCCAAGAATCTGCAAAGAGCTGTTGACACTTGGACTGAACCATGTGCGTTACTTATATGGTGTAAAAAAAGACTTGCCTGGATGTTTCTCCAGATACTGGTTTAATATCGACGACTTTAACTACAGCACTGGTGGCCGACATAAGTTCCCTGGAGAAGTCCCAAAGAAGGGGATAAAATAGGTGATTTGGTTGACAGTAATCAGTTTAAACTAAATATAAACTGTTTGAAGGAGAAAAATACCTTTTGATTTCATCAAGCTTCTGGTCAACCTCGGCTTCGGACAGTAAAAACTCAAGATCAACTTGGTAGCGCTTATCAACAGTGAAAATCTGCAGCATAAAAAAGTGCACAAGCATTGACATTAGCTGCCTTTTTTAAACAGTCTGTGTAAAACTCTGTTACAAAACACTGAAATAATTCAAATCATGTGCCTCACCTCCACTACATTGCTGGTCTCAAGACCTCCAGTATCAGTTGCTGTCACTGTTACCAAATATTTTCCAATCAGATCTACATTGAGGCCTGTGTTGGATCTGAAGAAGTGAGAAATATCAATGGTGAATCTATAAACACATTACACTCAAAATAGTTAAATGTACTAATATTAATGCATAAAACCCCATTTTTAAAACTGAAAAATTTAGCTTTAAATAGTTATTTTGTGCTTACTGAATGTTCCCAACAAAAACATCATCTTGTTGTGTAGTAACGGCCTCGAACAGCAGCCGGAGATTTTCTGTGTGATTATTACTGTGTTGAAATTGAACTGTTTTTACTTTAAACTCTATTTTTCTGTTTTCTCCAGAGTCCTTATCTATAGCCTGGGAACATAAAGAGAAATGTGAGGAAGAATCTGCAGACATGATGCTACACTTCCCATCGACAGGCTGAAAACATTTCATTTTATTGATTTTTCTGTCATACTCACAGTGACATGTGCAACCGAGGTGTCTTTATTTGAACCTTCAGCCACCACAACTAGAAAAAGACAATTTGGTGTTGAATTGGAGTTAGCGTATAGTGACAAGTTGAAATTAGTTTTATATAAAAAAAAAAAAAAGTTTGAACGTTTTAATTTTTTTCTTACAAATTTTCAAATTTAATTATTTTATTTTTAAATTGCTCCTTAATAATTCAGTGTTCTACTTCGTATAGGCTTCGCCCTTTAAGGCTATCGCTAGTGGGTTTATCCCTTAGCGCACAGCGCAGCACTGAAAACTTTAGTCCACGCCCACCTGCTGTGTGGGCCTCACCCCCGGTCCGTAAAAATTACGGTGAGACTGGGTAATCGACTCCCATTTTTTCTTCTGCAAGCAACCAACACTGCTTTTTCAAGAAGACAATGGCCAGCGCCAGCACCATCCGCCTGTGCCCATCCTGCCAGACCGGCTACATTTTGAGTTTTGACCGGCACGACATCTGTGAAGGATGCCTGGGTCCCCGCCACGCCGACCTCACCTCCTCCTGCCATCCCTGTGACCTCCTCCCTCCTGAGGAGAAGCAGAGATGAGCATCCTTGTTCAAGGCTAACATCGAGGAGTGCCTTTCCGTGGCAGAGAATTGTTCGCTTGATGACGCCATTGTCTTTTTTGACGCTGAGTCATGGAGCGAATTGGATGATTCCTCCAGAAAAGGCGATGTCAGCAGCAGCCCCGCTGCTCATTCCCTCCTGGACAGCGCAGTGTTGGAACAGGGGGGGGGCAAGCAAATGCCCCCCCCGGGCTTTTCTGCATTGGCGAACACACCACTCCCAGCCGCCGGTGCCCTCCTCGCGGAGCTGCCCGGCATAATCCAGGAGGTGGCTTACACAAAGGGACTTTCCATCCCTCTCCTCCCCCCACCCAGATCGGATGATCTAGCGGGAAGGTTTGGCTCCCTGGACAGATGGATGGACCGTCTGATCAGCAGGGGGTTACACACTGCAGTTCACAGCTCAACTCTCACTGTTCAGAGGGATTATAGAGACGGTTCTGTCATCTCCAGAACAGATTTCTTCTCCACTCAGAAGTTCAGGAACTACTGATAAAAAATGTAATTTCCAGGGTTACCAGAGGAGAGGAAAACACAGGGTTTTACTCACATTACTCCCTGGTCCCAAAAAAGACTGGAGGAATGAGACCCATCCTCGACTTGTCCATGTTCAACAAATCGATCATAGAGAGACAATTCCACATGCTGACAACCAAACAGCTGTTGGACAACATTCACCAGAACAATTGGTTTACCTCCATATATCTAAAAGACGCTTATTTTCACATACCAATCATTCCAAAGCACAGAAAGTTCCTGCGCTTTTCCTTCCAGGGGACTCAGTACCAGTATATCATGCTCCCGTTCGGCTATCCCCTCACCTCACGCACGTTTTCAAAATGCGTGGAGACGGCTCTGCAGCCGTTTTACAGAGCAGGAATGAGAATTATTTTCTACATGGATGATCTGAGACAGAAAGCAGCTGCACAAACCAAAACGCTGACGTCACACCTGCTGAACCTGGGATTTGTCATAAACTGGGAAAAGAGTTCAGTTCTCCCATTCCAGATGATCATTTATCTGGGAGTGGAGCTAAATTCAGTCACCATGAGAGCCCCTTTATCACAGCTGAGAGCTGAAGCTCTGACAGCTCAGCTCCGCCGTGTAAAACCCCGCAGTGTAGTAACAGCTGTCTCGATCATGAAACTTTGGGGTACGATGTCCTCAGCTCACATTGTGGTTCTGCTGGGCTTACTCCACATGAGATGCCTTCAGGGATGGTTCACTTGCCTACGCATAGATCCAGTGCGTCAGAAGAGGCGGATGATCTCTGTGCCCCCCTCCGTGGGAACCGACCTGAATCACTTGGGAAACCCCCTCACTCTATCAGAGGGAGTTCCTATCAGCAGGCCTACGTCACATGTCTCAGTTTTCATAGAGCGTCCGTCAGGCTGGGGAGGAACGTGCCTGTCTCATTTGGTGGGGGTGCAGTGGCCAACTCACACATCAGCTCATATAAACGTCTTGGAATGTCTCACAGTTTGAAATGTGATTCAGCATTTTGCTCCCCTGTTGCGGAATCAACATGTTCTGATCCACACAGACAACAGAGTTACTGCAGTTTACATAAACCGGCAGGGAGGCGTGTGCTCAGCCCAACTGTTACGCATTGCGAGACAGCTGGGTTGGGCACACAAAAACCTGCTCTCCATCAGAGCATCCCCGGCATCCTGAACAGAGGAGCGGACATAATGTCCAGGGGCGGTCCTCGCCACGGAGACTGGAGCCTCCATCCTGAGCTGATTTCTCAGATTTGGAGCTGGTTCGGCCGAGCAGCAGTGGATCTGTTCGCCACACCGGAGAACGCCCAGTGTCAATTATGGTTCTCACTGAGCCCACGGGACGACCCACCGTTAGGAGTGGACGCTTTTGCCCACAGCCCGTGGCCAAAAATGCTCCTTTATGCATTTCCTCCAGTCCCTCTAATATCACGGTTTCTGAACTGAGTCCGGGAGGAAGAACTGTCAGCCATCCTTGTAGCCCCTGAGCGTGTGAGCGCCTTGTGGTTCCCAAACCTGCAACGTCTATTATCGGGCTGACCGTGGAAACTGCTGTGGAGGGACGATGCTCTCCTCCAGGTGGGAAGAGCGATCAGGAGTCACCCAGAAATAGGCCAGCACCTTTGAGTCTGGCAGCTGAGTGGATCCGCTTAGAGAAAATGGATCTCTCTCAAGAACTGGTGTACACAATCCAAGACTCACAAGCTGCTTCTGCCACAGCGCTGTACACATCAAAGTGGACAGTTTTTCAGTGCTGGTGCACGGAAAAACGTGTAGAGGCCATCTCATGTCCACTAGGTGGCATGATGTCCTTTCTGCTGCAGCTGATGGACAGAAATCTAGCTTTCAGTACAGTTAAGACTTAAGCTGCGGCTATTTCTTCTTGTCACGAGGGCTTCAGTGACAGAACTGTTTTTAATCACCCATTGATGAAACATTTCCTAAAAGGTATACGGAGACACACACCGGTGTCACGCCCACTAGCTCCACAGTGGAACCTAACAATGGTTCTGTGAGCTCTGATCAAAGCTCCGTTCGAGCCTTTAGATCAGGTGTCACTTAAATTCCTGTCACTTAAAACAGCCCTGCTGTTGGCTTTGACATCAGCAAAGAGAGTGAGCGATTTATCTGCACTCTCTGCTGCTCCATCATGCCTCAGGATTCAAGCTGATGGCAGCTCAGCTGTGCTGAGACCTAACCCAGCTTTCATAACAAAAAAAAAACCCATCACAAGCTCATTTAAATTGAGAATGATAACATTGGAGGGGTTTTATCCCCCTCCTCACAAATCAGAGGGGGAAGCATCATCCCATCTCCTCTGTCCCGTGCGCGCGCTGGCATGTTATATAGCACGAACGGCCCCTTTGCGCCAGACTCAGCATCTGTTTGTGCATTATAGGGACATCTCTGCAGGTTGCACATTATCCACTCAGCACCTCTCACACTGGCTGTGTGAGGCTATTTCTGAAGCTTACAGAGCATTTGGATTGGAGCCTCCGGAGAATCTCAGAGCTCATTCCACCAGAGGGATTTCATCCTCTACAGCTTTGCATGGAGGGATGACAGTGGAGGACATTTGTACGGTGACCGCTTGGTCATCGCTTTGTTCATTTATTCGCTTTTATCTGTGTGATGTTTCTGCTTTCTCCATGACCCATTCTGTTTTCAGTGTTCTAACAGAACGATTTTTACTTGTTTCATGGAATTTCGTTTTAAACTCACATCTGACTGCATGCAATTACAGTGTGAAACATTTATTTTCAGTCACAAGTGCATGACTGCTGTTTTTATTGTTACTAATCAGTTCATGACTACTGTTACCATTCAGTTCATTTGATTACTAATCAGTTCATTTGTTATTAATCAGTTCATATTGAAGAGCTGTTGACCTGCTCTGCTCACTGTTACACGGTTACAATATGCAACCTCTGTTCTTTTTCCATTCTCAGCTGCAGAACTGCTTTTCAGCCTTCCCTTTTTTCCCCGTCGGAGACCTTTTCTCTCTGGGGTGCTCCTGTGCATGGAACGCGTAATTACGCAGCGTGCTCCTGTGCATGGAACGCGTAATTAAGCAGCGCATAATTACGCACACAGAAGGCTGAGTTGATGGAATGTTTTTGGTGCAAGCGTGCGCTTTATATTGTGTCTGAATGGACCCAGAGAGGCATAGACTCCATCCTGCTTCGCCTTTAACCCACTAGCAATAGACTTAAAGGGCAAAGCTTAGACGAAATAGAACGTTAATTACGTACTGTAACCCCAGATTCTATGAGTATAGGTGCAGCCCTTTGAGCTCTGGGCCTCACTGATTCCTAAATGGCTGAAGAAAAAAGCTATTTGGGAGCCGATTACCCGGTCTCACAGTAATTTATACGGACCGGGGGTGAGGCCCACACAGCAGGTGGGCGTGGACTTAAGTTTTCAGTGCTGCGAGAAGGGATAAACCCACTAGTGATAGCCTTAAAGGGCTGCGCCTATACTCATATAATCTGGGGTTGCAGTACGTAACCAACATTTTCTTAATGAGTTGACCATTCCTGGAGATGCACATGACTTTAACTTCGAAATGTCTTTCTTTCTTTCTTTTCAAAACATAAAGTTTCAATCTTTTAGTCAATTTTGGCACATTTATTTAAGTATAAACATAAAATTTAAAATGTAAACAATTTTAATTAAATGGTTTTAAAAATCAAATGGATTTTCTGTGCATCATTTTTACCAGATTTTTACCAAAATTCTAGTTTCTGTAATTTGTGCAGACTCAGTACAGCTATAAACACAATAAAAAATGTCATCAAAATTTTTTTTTATAGGATATATTTAGCCTTGTTCAGTCGGAATGCCCTTGTGTTCTGCAAAAAAACTAATTGTAAAGTCTAACAAAGTCAAGTCAGGTCATCTGGACAGTTTCTTTTTTTTATTTGTTGAGACGTTTTGTCCTTCATCCAAAGGACTTCATCAGTCTGAGGAGGAGCCGCAACAAACAAAGTTCATACTCAATCATCCAGGTATCAAATCCAATAATTCTCAGTCAGGTCATCTGGACTGAGAATTATTGGAGTCACAACAAACTTAGTCCCCCAAGCAGCCCATCACATAGAGGACCAACAAGTTTGATGGTGATAAGATGGTTTCTGGAGTCCGCACTCTCCCCTGTCGACTCCTCTGAGGCAGCCATGGCCAAAGAGGTTCAAAACATCAAAATTCATGCTCAGTAATCCAGGTAAAAAAATCCAACAATGGTCATGTCATCTGGATGGTTTATTTTTTTTTTGTTTGTTTTGTTGGTGAGATGTTTGGTCTCCCCGTTTGGGGAGAGGGCTGGCCCCAGAAACCATCTTATCACCAGCAAACTAGTTGGTCCACTATGTGAGTGTGCTGCTTGTGGGACCAAGTTTGTTGAGGGCTCCTCGGACTGATGAATCCTTTCGATGTAGGACTAAACATCTCAACAAAAATAAGAAACCATCCAGATGACCTGACTGAAATTTGTTGGATTTTTACTTGGATTATTGAGAATGAACTTTGAAGACCAATGGTAAAGTTTTCCCTGACATTTTTACGCTCTACAGAAGGACAATTGGGGTTTATGTTGTCAAAATTTAACAGCAGGTAACACAGTTTGGCCAATATTCACTGTGAAATTAACAGAGGAATATTTGGAAATGCATGGCATTATTGATTATGTTGCCTTTATTTATTGAATCCCACAGTTTACACATCTTTATTTGATTTTTTTTTAAATCCATCTGATTCTAATATCTCACCAACTAAAGGTGTCTTACAATTTTAATAAAGTTTGCTTATTTAAAATCAGGAGAGAACTAAGCAACACATACTTTCAGTGATAGGTCTTTAAAGAGGAAGCCACTGTTCTCTAATCAAACAAAACTGCTTATGCCATTTGGTCTAAATGTATTCTGCTAAAGTTCATATGAGGCTTTGATTTTCTAAATACTTTCAAGGACATGTTTGCCACTTGCTTAATTTGGTTTCCTTCATCAAAAATGTATCTAACTGTACGGTTCACATTGTGTCTAACAACATTTGATTAATCTCTCATTTTCTAGAAGCTCATGGCAAAATGAGTGTGTTTTTTGTGCAAACAATTTGTAGGAAGTAGACCTGAGTTCTGCTTGGGAAAAAAGAAGGAAAGCATTAGCTCTTTGATCAAAACTCACCAAATACATCATCTGAGTAAATGAACTGGGGAGCGTTGTCATTGATGTCTTCAATGTTGATCACCATTAGTCCTGAAAAATAATCCAAAAGAAAAAGCAACAGTTTGTGTGAAACATGTTTGTTTTAATTGTGTTTGCATACTATCTTGGTTCAGTGTTCCTGTGCTTTTAAAAACAGCAAATTCTGACCTGGTTTAACACTGTCCTTTTCTCCCTTCTCTGTGTATCCGTCCTCCACCTGAGCCTCTATCACTGCCTGGTCACACTCTTCATAATCAACTGTTTCTTTTGGATTGACTCTAACTTCTCCAGTTGGGTCGACGATAAACCATTCGCATTGTTTCAGGTTGTTGTTACACCTGCATTTGACCGATTCCTGTTTGTAGATCAGGGAATGGTTAGTGTCTTTGTCCTGGGCTATGAAACTTCCTATAGGTCCAATGATGAAAGTGTTCTCTTTAACAGTCACTGGATCAATAGGCAGGAATTCTGGCCTCTCATCGTTCACATCCAGCACATTCACCTCTACCGTCACAACACTTTTTTTTGAGTCTGTATCTGAAGCCTCCACTTGCAATTGAAAATGGGTGTGTTCTGTTTCATACTCCAGCTCAATGTCCTGGTCCACAGAGATCTTTCCAATGTAACCCTTATCAGCTGCAGAGGCTATGATGCTGAAGCTGCCCAAGCCTCCGCTGATGATCCGGAAAGAAATACGGTTGAAGACGCTTGTTTGATCCCGATCCTCAGCATGAACAGAACCCACAAATGCACCTGTTTAGAAAAAAATAAAATTAAAGCAGTGAACTGTAAATCTTAGTTCTGAACACAAAGGTCTTGTAATCAAAAGTACTTGCCTTTTTCTCCTTCTTTTACAGAAAAATTGTAAGCGATTTCTTTAAATTCTGGTGTGTTGTCATTGTCATCCTGAAGAGTATCAGAGGAAAAGATCAGCAATTATAATTTCCTAAGGTGTGGTTCTACCATGGTACAAATAATTTGCCACAAGACCTACCTCCAAAATGATGATAAAGGGTACAGTGCTCGACAATGGGGGAGTTCCCTTATCGGTGGCCATTACATTTAGCTCAATCCTGCCTTTCAGTTCTGGATCCAGCCACTCCAGGTCCAGTTCACCTTTGTTCCTTAACCATCCCGTGTTTTCATCTATGGTGAAGTTGTTGCTGTATTGGTTTGGTTCTATACTGAACCAAATCTCGCTGTTTACCGAACCGACTTCATCTCTGTCTGTAGCCTGTTCATACCAGAAAATAAGGAACTAAGAAGCAGTATTTTAACCTTTTTGTGTTAAAGCATTAACACAGTATCAAAAGGAAACCATCCTCTTTTTTTGAATATGAAACATTTCATAGAGCTTTTGATTTTGAATTAGGAAAATATATATTTTTTAACTATTTTAAATCAGATTGCTCAAACATTGCAGAAAAGACAAAAAGGATGGTCACAGATGAGATATAAGGAAGCAGTTAGAGAGGACATGGAGGTAGTTGGAGTGAGGACAGAGGATGCAGAGGACAGAGTGAGATGAAGGAGGATGACTTGCTGTGACGACCTCTGAAGAGCAAAAAACCGAAACGCCTCACTCCATCTAACTCCATGTCCTCTCTAACTGCATCCTTATATTTCCTCTTTGTTTTTTGTTTTCCTGGCAGCTGCATTTCTACCATCCTTCTATCAATATGCCCACTGTCCCTCCTCTGGACATGTCCAAACCACAGTCCCTCCTCTGGACATGCCCAAACCATCTCAGTCTGTCCTCTCTAACTTTATCTCCCAGTTGTTCAACCTGTGCTGTACCTCTGATGATCTCATTCCTAATCTTCATCCTTGTCACTTACAAAAAAACCCTTAACATCTTCACCTCTGCCACTGTCAGTTCTGTCCCCCGACTTTTTGTCCATGTCTCTGTCTCCAAACCATACAACATGGCTGGTCTCACTAAGGTCTTGTAAACCTTTCTTTTAACATTTGCTGCCCTCCTTTTGTCACAAATCATTCCTAAAACTTTTCTCCATCCACTCCATCCTGCCTGGACTCTCTTCATCGCTTCTTTACCACATTCCCCATTTCCCTGTAAAACCTAAATACTCTAAATTCTGCATCTTTGTGACCTCTACTTTTTGTAGCTTCACAGTTAAAATTGTCTCTATCCTTCACACTCTGTCTTGCTATGTGTGACTTTCATTCCTCTTCTTTCAAGTGCATACATCTACCTCTCTAAGTTCTCTTCCACCTGTTCCCTGTTCTCACCACAGATCACACCATCTGCAAACATCATATTCATGGGGATTCCTGCCTGACCTCATCTGTTAGTCAGTCCATCACCAGAGCAAACAAGAAGTGGCTCAGAGCTGATCCTTGATGCACTCCCACCTCCACCTTGAAGCTGTCACATTCTGCATATCTCACCACTGTCCTGAATCCTCATGCATGTCCTGTACCAGTTTAACATGGTCTGCTGTCTCTATTCATGTTATGTACTTGTTTAATATACATACCTGTATTCACTTAAACATAAATTATTCATTAATTTGTGTTACAAAGGTTCTGTTGGGAGTTTACCCATACCAAATGCTTCCAAGAAAAACTTCTGAAATAGTGATAAACTGAAATGCACCTTATATTATGCTGTGTAAAAAAAAGGAAATACAAATCTTGATATACTTTTAAGAATACTGGTGAATTTTGAATTTTACAGAGACTAACAAGGTTGAGTCAGATCATCTGGATGGATTCTTCTTTGTTCAAATGCTTGGTCTTTTATCAAAATGACTTCTTTGGTCTGAGAAGCTGCAACAGTCTTATAAGCAGCACCTTCTCGTATTGGATCAACCAGTTTGCTGGTGGCAGCCAAAACTAGCTGTTCACATGATAAAGGAGGACCATCAGTCTAACAATTGATTGTTAGTGCCCCGATGGCTGTTTACTATTCACAGAGGGCTGGGTGATATTAGAAATAACAGCATTTTAAGAGGGGGACAGTTGAACATGGAGACCTCTTCCCCTATTCAATGATGGATGTGTTCTCTTCACAAAGATGGCCTCCTTCACTCCTCTCTCAAACCATCGTTCTTCTCTATCCAGGATGTGAACATATTTTTTCCTAAAGAGTGACTGCTGGCCTGGAAATGAGTGTAGACCACAGAGTCCTGCCCTGATGATGTTGCTCTTCTCTGCTGGACCATTCTTTTGGCCAGTGGCTGTTTAGTTTCCCCAATGTAAGACTGATCACAGCCCTCCTGACACTGAACAGCATACGCAATATTACTCTGTTTGTGCCAGGGGACTGGATCTTTGGGATAAACCAGCACTTGCTGTAATACAGTCCTTCTCAAATAGTGGGGCGCGCCCCCCTAGGGGGGCCCCGAGCAATGCCGGGAAGGGGGCGCATGTGACCCCGGGGAAAATTTTGTGGCAGGGATTAGGGGTTGTTGTTTTTTTTTTTTTTTTTTCACCATTCTCATTGTGTCAGGGTGCATCCGGCAACTGTTTGCTAAAATCCGGCAACTTTCAGGCTGACTAATAATAAAGTTATGAACAAATATCTCTGTCTTGTCATTTGGGGAGCCATGCTAGTGTCGCTGTGACACCTCCTCAGATGGTGACGCTCTGGACGCTTGTCACCCACAGCACGCATGCGACAGAGAATAAACTCAAATCGAGAGCGTTACCTGCCCCTCTTCCGCTTTTACTTTAACAATTTTTTTTTAGTTTGTCAAAGCACAATTTTTGTGTGTTTTTTAATACAGAAGTAATGTTTAATAAATGTTAGGACTCTATTCTTTACTAACAAGTCCTCCGCTCTGAACGCATTTCGCCCACAGCACACAGCAACAAAGAGTATAAACTCAAAGCGAGAGCAACACCTGCCCCCTCTTTCCTCTTTCACGTTGACAACATTTTTTAGAAAGAAAAAAAAAACAGCACAAATTGTTTTATTCATTTTTGTTTTGAAGGTCAAAGTGTTTTATATAACACTCCTGACTTACAATGTTGCTGATCAATTTGAATGTATTATTATTTATTGATTGTATTTAATTTGATTGTTCAATATCAAATGGTCAAAAGATTTTACAGTTTAAATAAGGATATATTTTTTTTAATTTCAGGCAGATGCACTTTAAGCCTTTTCTGTTACAGACTATAAAACAATGTTAATAATCTTTGTTGTAAGTTGATCTATATTTCTTTCTTTTTTTATTTAATGTTAATAAGGGAACAATGTTATGCAGAGGTGTATTTATAACAATTTTTTAGACAAATTATACTATTTACAGTCGCGGCGGAGAGTTGGGGGGCCGCGAAATGTTTACTTCTTCCTGGGGGGGGGGGGTAACCGAAAATAATTGAGAAGCACTGCCGTATGTATTTTGAGGGTTGAAAGCCACAGGGAATTCACATTTAGAACTGGTCTAGATCTGGGCTGGAGTTTCTCCTTTTCACCTGATGGCTGGCTGGAGTCCTGTTTGGGTTTCTTATCTGCTTTCAGGAAGGACCAGTTAGGATATCCACATTGCTCCAGGGCCTATCTTGTGCAGGATTTCTCCTTCTCCCTGGGTTCTGAGTTTGTTTTTGTTTTGTTTTGTTTTGTTTTGTTTGTTGTTGTTTTTTTTTTTTTGGGGGGGGAAGCTGTCTGCTCTGTGGCACAGAGTCCTGATGACTTCTGACGTAAGCTCCATTGAGTGATGGGAGTCAAACCACAAGTACTGGCCTGTGTGGGTGGGTTTGCAGTACACATCAGTTTCCAAATGACCTCCAACAGCAACTGAGACCTCACTGTCCAAGAAATAAATGTTTCATCAAAGAAGAATCCAGCCAGAGGACCTCGTTCAACCTTCTTAGATTTATCTACCTAGATTATTGAGCATGCATCAGGACAGTTTTACAGAGAGTTAACATACAAATATCATATTTTAAAAATTACTTTAATAATTCAGATGCTGTGTGATTTGCAACCTAAAGACAAAATGTTACTGTATGATGATGTCCTATTCTTTACCTCAATCCTGCTTTCAAAATTTTCGCCCTCTTTAACATATTCCTGGTAAGATTGTCTGTTGATGACCGGAGGCTGGTCATTGATGTCAGTCAAAGTGATCTCCAGTACAGTAGAGCCGGGCTTGTTGTCTGAGTCACTGGCCTGCAAAGTGGCTGAATATAGGGATCTGACTTCACGATCCAACAGAGCACCGTTTTTCACATAAACTGTGCCAGATTTTGGATCAACATCAAACATGGGCAGTCTGAAACACATCAGTTTGGTTTTAGGCATCATGTGGATTGGATAACATAACAGAAGGCAGACAGTAGCCCTGTGCATTCAGATTAGCTGAAGTACAACAGTAATATTTAAATGAAGACATACATGCTTTCTGGAAGAAGCTTGTAGGTTATTTTGCCTTGATCCATGGTATCCGGATCTTCTGCCTGGAATTTTAACAAAATGTAAAAACCCTTATAAAAACCAAACTGATGTGTTTCAGACTGCCCATGTTTGATGTTGATCC